CGTATTTTCTGAATCAACCCTACATCGAATACAAAAATGCCAGCTTGGAATGGGCAATGAAAAAATACTGGAAACAATGGTGTCCACGTGCACTTTATAAAAAAAATTGATTTATTAATGATCTCAAGCAAAATTTGTCTTAATGTATATTCTATGAAAGATTCGCTCCCGAATTCCAATTTTTAAGCATTGAAAATTCCATTTGAACTTTCTTCCCGCCATAAAAATCTATTTAATTTCGAAACTTTAAATATAAATTTCTCGAAGTAGCAAAAACGGCACTTAGGCGCTTTGTCCTCCAAGCTCCTCAATCGTGTTGTATGATTGGTCGGCTTTGTCATGCCTAAGTCGCGTAGAATGATAATATATCGATACTTCTAGACGTGCCCTTAGCTCATCAATTACTCCTCCAGACAAAAGTACGATATTAAAGAGGACTGACAAAGCCAACCAATCAATTAGTAACTCCATTCCTGTTTTGACAAACACAAACAGTTGACAAACGCAAAATTTCAAAAATTAGCCGCTTGAGATGACTGGGTTTCTTTATTTTATGCAATATTTTGATGACTATTTAAAAAATTGATTTCTGTTTTTATATTTTACGCCTAATAATCCCGGGATAAGTCAATTTTCATTTGGTTATGAAAAACACCGGGACAATAGTTTTCATTTCTTTCAAAATCTGTTGCGACAACTTCTCTCACTTCATTCTGTTAGACAGCGGGGCTCACACTAGACCGAGTCAATAGGAAAAGTCGGACAAAATCTGAACACTTTCAGAGCTTACATTTTCGAAAATATATAACAAAGAAACTCTAGAGTGGCTCTTTTGGGTTTTTCGTGAAATTTTCTTTCAGAAGCACCCATTGAAATTGGATTTGTGACTATGTAAACATACAAATTTGAAATTTCACCAAAAAAATTCATGTTCGACCTCTTCTATTAGCAAGTTCCACTGTGCGGCCACTGCAATCACTGGAACTTTTTTTACTCTCAAACAATAACCCTCTGCATTGTTGAAGACAAACATTCGTCGGAACATCCAGAGAGAGAGGGTTGCTTATTTTGCGCTTTCTCTTAATCACTAAGTGAATTTGCATTGAAAACTCACAGCTGTGTTTGATTATGTGACAGCTTCATTCTTTTAACTTCCCTCTCCTTTGTACGGCTCAGCTTTCAAGAACCTTTTTACCTCCACTTTTTTCTTCGTCAAGTTTGCATAATAAAAGCTATCCTGACAAAAGTACGCGAGAGAAACTAACCAGTCCTTTTTCTCCGAATGAAAATCTCGGATAATTTTAATTTGTATTCCTACGAAACAAATGAGGCGAGTTCAACTTGTTCTCTTCATTCTCTTCTCAGCAGTCCTAGTTGGTGTTGTGTCCGGGGGATTTGCAGCTGAAACTTTTCCTCCAAATTGTTACGAGCATTATTAAAGCTCCGTTGCTAGCAACCATTCTTGAATTTTTCCGAGTTGCGAGCGCAGCACTACCTTCAACCCTTATATTTTCATTTCTTTTATTACGGCTTTTGAAAGCTCCCTCTGAAAGTTTCGAATGCCCCACTTCTTGAGAAAGGGAAACTCCCTGTTGAACGGCAAAGAATAGGCTCTTACTAATCCTTCAGTCTAAATTTTCAAAGGGCGACTAAAAATGAGCAGAGGCAAATGAATAGAAGTTTCAGAAATACTTCCCGATTTAAGCGTGGCTTGTTTCCCTATCACGATTACTCACTTAATTCGGCAACATCGAGCTAGAAGTTGTATAAACACATGTCAAATTTTGATAAGCTGAAATGTACACGGCCGTAATATTACCAAGAATGGAGAATCTGCACGAAAAATTTTTATTGTTGCATCTGAGAGTACCGAATGAGCTGCGTTCGCAGAATCTCTCGTGATTTTCTCTAAAATGGGAAATTGTAGAGCAAAAAATTTAAAAGTGAGAAAATCTGCCGCCTTGTAACGCAATCAGGGGCATTTCTCGTTTATAGACGTGTATTTTAGCAGATTAGGGAATTCGGTCACATCTGCTCTGAATATTGTTCATTTTAGAAACCAACGATATCCTCGTGCTCAGTTCACTCAATAATATGTTCGTTAACTTGAAATTAACACATTTTTTTAACACCTGCAAATTTCCATTACCACTTTAATATAAAATTTCGAAAGGAAAAGGAGGAATTTCTCATTTAAAAAATTGAAATTCTAACTCAAGTTGACGCACATGACATCTGCATGAACACTCTCAAGGTCAATTACATTATTGGAGCCATGAAATGCACTCTTTGAACCGTTCAAATATCCTAAAAAATATTTAAACTTACGCGTGCTCTACACTGACTTCAAACGGTTTCACGGTAGTGTATAAGGAATTTCACCGGTTCCTGCAAATTGAATTTCAAAGAATACACTTTCATCAGGACTTCCTAGAAATGAAATTCAATTAGAAATTTCGTGGAATTGTTTTTTTACCGAGGAACTTTGATCTATTTTCAAGAGATGACAATGCCATCCTCAAATAATAACAGAGAATTTGATAAAGGACTTTGAAATCTGTCGGTTTTCTTTTAATATTGAGTTTCTACTATTCCAAGGCATTTCATGACCCCCATGGCTCTGTTAAAAGTTTCGAAAAATTTAAGGACAAAAATTGTTATTCTTTCAGGCGTTATAGATTCCTGTTAAATGAGAGAAACAATTTGCATAAACCTTGCAACACCCAATGATTTCTCGGATGTTCTGAATTCTCTCTTCGCGCGCTATAATCAGCCACACCAATTAGACAACTAAACGAACTGCTGTACGGCTATCAGAAACTTTCTTATTCCCTTCCATTTTTTTGGCGCATCCTCATACAAAGATGCAAGTTGGAATACAGCAAATCTTATAAAGGTTTTGGAGGAGAATGGACCACTACAGACAAGGTACGAATTTAAGCATTCTGATACATGATTTTTGACCAAAATTTCACGTAAAACACGATTCGCGCAACGAAAATAACCGAAAACAACTCCTGACAAAGATATTACGAGGAATTTTAACTGTCCGCTCACAAGAAACTCAAAGCTTTAGGTGAGTTAAATCGTGCACTAAAACGGTTTCAGCAAGCTTCTCAATCGAGCAATGTTCATTTCCCACCATGTATTGTTCAAACTATAAACAACTTGCTATAGCTGAGCCAAAGCGTCAAGATTGAGGTTGCCAGATTTTTATATCGCAGAGACTGTCATGATAACGTTTAGTGCGCGATGTGAGTCACGTAGAGCATTGAGTTTTCATGAGCGGGTGGTTTGAAATCACGCATCAAGAATCATTAAATATCTTCGTAAGTAGTTGATTTTGGTAATTTTCGTTGCGCGCATCGTGTTCTGCGAGAAATTTTGGTCATGAAACGTGTATCAGAATGCTGAAATTCGTGCCTTGTCTACTGGTCCATTGGCGCAAAAAGTTTTGATTGTTCTTACAGTGAGACTATTTTCCTCAGAAAACTTTCCATATCCCGCTTAAAAAAAACCAAAAAAAAACTGAAACGCAGTCATGAAGTCGTGTGTGGTAACATACTGGGAATTTCGCCCAGTGCAAAAAGAATCTCTTCAAAAAAGTGGCGCAATTAAAGTCATGCCGTTTTCCCGTCTACCTCCTCATTAGCTTCCCATTATTTCATAATGTACACATGGTGTACCAGGATTAATACGTCAAACTGTAGGAGCGAGTTCAATGGATCAAAATGAGACTCCTCTGCCTCAGGAATGACACAGCTAGAGGTCTGTAAAACATCGTCACTCTTCTGACATGAGGGCGTATCCTTCTCTCCAAATGAGCCCCGAAAAGTATAGAGTTACACGGAGACCAAGGCTCGCGTGGAAATCGAGATACGTCCTTACGTCACACAGTGGATAGAATCAATAGGAGAGGTCAGACAAAATTTGGAAACTTTAAACGCTTATAACTCCGATTCTACAAACATGTGAGGTATTGTGAGGTTCTAAAACTAAAAATTGGTCTCCTCGTAAAATTTCCCTTTAAAAGCACCTCTTGTAATTTAAAATGTGACGAAATAAACGTCAAAATTTGCAGTTTTAGCCAAAAATGTCACGTCTGACCTCTTCTGTTAACTCGTTCCATTGTGCGTCAGAGGAACGACAATATATCGCCTCTGATTTAGACCCGTTTAATAAACCCCTACAGTCTGGCGGCTAAACCCTGAGACACCCTGTGTTGCGTTATTGGATAAGAATTTCAAACTAACCACCACAGGATAGCGATCGGGCTGAAATCTGTGCCTGGCAGAAAGAGCCTGACGCTAGGAGCGCGGTGTGTTCATTGCGGAAAATTCTATCATGAGATCGAAGAAGAATTTTGCTCCGGCTTATCTTGTCGTGCGTCGAGATGAGGGAGAATGTAACTGAGAAAACGTTTATTCTCCGTGATGAAAAAACGTGACGAAAATGGGGCGGAATTTTTGCGCGGCACCCATCCAGTGTCGCCGGATCGTCTAAAAAATCACGCTGCGTTCAGAAGTGTTATACGGGGTTGTTCAGGGCTGGATCTTGTTTTCTGCTCATGATCTAGGGAATCATGGTATACCAAGAAAAATTTGATAGCACTGAGCGATCGAGTCACATCACCATCGAAAATGTTGAAAAACAGCCTTGGGCACAACATTTCGAAATCCTCATTCTTGTGTGGTAGACGTCAAAAAATAAAGAAGCTTGGTGGGCAAGGCGCATAACTGCAGTTTTTGCTATTTCGAGAAAAACAGGTCTAAAGTTTCTAACTTATATGAAATCTTAAGATAGAGAGAAAGTTTAAACTCACATTTTGATGAAACGATTTTTTAGGAGTTTAAAACACTACACAAGAGTAAAATTTAAGATTCTAAAAAATTTAAAAAACTTTTAAGACAATTTTGAACCACTCACTTGCATAAAATCTTCTTTTCACGGAAGCGGACGCGTTTCGGAGGTTACCTGCCCTCCATCATCGGCGCGACTGGTCAATTCCAATCAGCTGATTTCGGTCCCGGATTATTTCCCGTCCCTCCATCGTTGTCACATCTCGAGTGTATTGTTGTAAACAGTCTGTTATTTACTCCCGTTAGATCCGTATTAAAAATGTTGTTCTTATTTTGGTACATGTAAATACTTTCCCATATGTCTAGTTTATTTTTCTCAGTGACTTTTCTTAGCAGTTTCGGTTCAAACGATATTTCGTGTCCTTCTTCCCAGTAGTGTAGAGCTACTGCTGATTTCTCTGTTTGTCTATTTCTAACACATCTTTTATGTTCTTGGGCTCTTACTTTCAGTGAACGGCTGGTCTGTCCTATGTAGAATTTATTGCATTCTGTACAGTTAATTTGGTAAATACCTTTCTCCTCGTTGTCAGGTCTTCTGTTTTCAATCTTCCTGCTAAATTGTTGGGCAACATTGAACCTATTGGTGAAGCTTAGTTTTATGTTGAACTTCTCAAAAATCCTACGAAAAGCTGGGGCATATTTCGGATGGTATGAGAATTTCTTAAACCTCATCTCGGCTTTCTCTATATTTAGCTTTGATGTTTCCTTATTTAGGGTTCTCTGCTTCACTTTTTCATTCAATTTCTTGATTTCTCCTTTGTTAAAACTATTCTTTTCTGCTATCTCTAAAATTTTCTCTATTTCTATTTTGTAATCAGTTTCGTTCAAAGGAATGCTGTTTGTTCTGTGTAGCATGAAGTTGAAAGCTGCGAGTTTGTGTGGTCTGTGGTTGAACGCTCTGTTGTTGATATATGTTTCCGTGCTCGTAGGTTTCCGATATATTCCGAATTTGAGATTATCTTTGTCCCTATGTACGATTAGGTCTAAAAAGGGAAGTTTTTGTTCTTCTTCTACTTCAAGTGTGAATTGAATTTTCTCGTGGTATGAGTTAAGAATTGTAAGGGCTTCGTTAATATGGTGTTTTTTTAGTATCTCTAAGACATCATCTACGAACCGAGACCAATGTTGGAAAATTTTCGGGTATTCTTTAATAGCTCTGCATTCAAATTCACTCATGACCAGCTCAGCTGTCAACGAGGAGATCGGGTTGCCCATCATTAGGCCGTCTAATTGTTCGTAAAGTTCATTGTTGAAGTAAAATGCGTTTTGAGTTAGACATAAATTTACTAGTCCCGCATATTCTTTAATTTTCACCGAGCTTATTCCATTTTTGTGTAGCCAATTTCTTAAGGTGTCTAGNGCGTCCCTCTAAATGACCAAGAAACACTGTTCACGCTATGCTTTGCTGACGACCAGGTAGTCATAAGTCAAGATCACGATGACGCGGAGTATATGACCCGGAAGTTGGTGGAGGAGTACCGCAAATGGGGCCTCGAGGTTAGTGTCCGTAAGACAAAAAAGATGTCAGTCGGAGGTGCTCAGCAAAGCATAGTCCTGGAGGATGGTCAACATATAGAAGGTTGCGAACAATACAAGTACCTGGGGGTGAACCTGACTTCGGATGGGAAGCTGGATCAGGCCATTCGGGACCGTAATCTTCTAGGAAGGAAAGCCATCGCCATGCTTAATGGGATCCTTTGGGACCAAAGGATTTCCAAAGACAACAAGAAGAGGATTTATAACTCGGTTGTCAAGCCTATTATCACCTATGGCAGTGAAGTGTGGCAGTTGAAGAAGCGGACCCAAGAAATGCTCAAGGCGACCGAGATGGATTTCTGGCGAAGATCGGCTGGAATCTCGAGGAGAGAACGTGTTAGGAATGAACGTGTCCGAGAGATAATGGGCGTTGAGGGGACGATTGTGCACGATATCATGACCAAGCAATTGGTATGGTATGGGCATGTGCAGAGAATGGCTGATACCAGGTTGCCGAAGAAGGTGTTGGAGTGGGTCCCCCCAGGTAGGCGACGGAGAGGGCGTCCAGCCAAACGGTGGGTAGAGGGCATCCATGAAGAGATGGAGAGATGCCACCTTCCGGAGGATCTCTACCATGACAGATTCCTGTGGAGAATAGGCGTCGCAGAGCGCCCTAGCGCGCCGTAAAAGCGGCTCATACATACAAGAAAAATGACAGGAGAAAGATAGAGAAGATGAAGAATAAGGAGAAACAGAAAAGAAGTAGAGGTAAAGAATGAATAGGAACAAAAAAGGAAGAAGGAAAGGAGGGAAAAGAAAAAGAGGAGGGGGATCATTTAAATAGAATGGTTAATATGAAGAGGACTGAAAGGAGAACGGGAAGGAAATTATCAAAAATAATAAGAAGAGAAGTTTTATATAAATAAGAATAACGAGGAGAATATAAAGACGAGGGAAACGAATTAGGGAACTGTCAGTTAACCCGTATAAAATATAATCATTCAAATGCTCTAACTTGCAACACTGCCTTCGAAAGGACCCCCAATTAGGCAATGGAATTTCCTCATTCGTTACCTTCATTCATTGTAATGCATAGAATTTTCTCTCAAAGTTTTCAAAACCACCCTGAATTCTTTATGATGCTGAGGCTCCCCGAAAACTAGGCAGCCTTGCTCCCAGCTTGGGAGTGATTCAATTTTAGACGAGGCTTTTTCGAGCGTTAGATTGATATTCGGAGGCATTTGAAACGGAAATTCCCGAGCTGCCTTTTTCCAGCGTTTTTGCATACTCCCTGTCGAATCACCGGGGAATAAATTCAGCCTAGATTTTTTTTACACAAAAGACGCCTCAAGATAAAAGAAGCACTGTGTGCCTAAAATAATTTCTGAGATTTTTTCACGCCTTTTTTGTTCATTTCTCTCTCTTTTTTTATTTTATATTTTAAGTGAAGTAAACAGTTTTTTGCTTCTTACATAATTTTGAATGATACATTCGTGATTTAAAAATGATTAGAAGCAATTGTTTGTAAGAAAATTTCCCATGAAATCTACTGGAATAGACGTTGTTTTTAGAGATCTTAAGATTAGCGGAGGATTTATGGACAATTATTCAAGCTCTTCCGCACTTTTTGCATGGTTCCCTATTTTTCCTCATTCAACAAATGTATATTACTCTTTCATAAAAAAATTATAAAAAGAACGCTCAACGCATGATGCATGAAGTGCAAAGCGCTTCGAGAGGCTAAACCGCGAAGCGGTCAGGGGACGCACTTCCTAATTTTAGATAGTATGGCCATGTTTTGCGTTGCGGATGCGTTATACATGGGGAAAAAGGTCAACAAACGAAAATGTACCCACCACTATAATTTCTTAAGCAGTTGGTGAAAGTCAAACCAGTGGCAATTCATATTGATATCAAGACTCGCTATAAGAATTGTGTGTGTATAATCGCAAAGCTTGTGTTTATAAGACATTTGGATTTTGAGAATGTTTGCCGCAAACTAATGATGTCAAACCTACAACTCTCGTAAATACATTTGTCAACACGCAGCCCAGGCTTTGCAAGGGGGTGCCCAGGATCTCATCTTTAAACCGATTATCAAATTCGGTTTCTTTAACAAAGGAACGCATCGACCAAGGAGGGACCAATAAGGGTGTCGCTGAAACGACCTATTCTTGCAAACCTGGATCGAGGGACACAACCACTTTTCCGTCCGAGCTCAATCGTGCTTAAACTTCCACGCTTCTCAGGGTCCACCTAAGAATCCCGTTCCGCGAATCGGCGTGGAATTGTGAGAAAGGGATGTAACCGAATCCCTGGAACCCCGAGTCCTTGAGCCTCGGAGAGCATAAAGCATCCAGTGGCGTGGCGTGAATAATCGATTATCGATATCTCGCCATTTGAAGCTATGGTAAAGAATCGATTACTAAGGTGTTGGCTGCGAACACCCTGATAATCGATCTTTTTTCATGGGTTTAAATGGCACAACAATCGATAAATCGCAATTCACGCCACGCCACTGAAAGCATCGGAATCTCCGCGGGTCCTGCTTTCAATTACGCGAGATGAACAGGTTTTCCGCGGTCATCAATTTAAAAACTCGGGGCTTAATATCGGGGTCGCCACTCGGGGAAGCCGAATCACCGTGACTCCCTCATGATTGATTGCGTTTCCTCGCGGGCGGGTCTTTGCTGGGCTCGGGAAAAAATCGAATTTTCCGATCAGATAAGAGGAATCAAACTTGAGTGCCTATCTCGGTCTGATCGAGCCGACTTTTTCATTTGAAGGGGTGGAAATCGTCATTTCATTGTTAAAAGTTTACGAGTCGAAAATGAAAGCGTATTTAACGATGAGCACATGACTCGAAAGTTGGTTGCTGAGTATCGGAAATGGGGCCTCGAGGTGAATGTCAGCAAAACCGAGAAGTTGACCGTTGGCGGGAATCAGCAAAGTATAGAATTAGAGGATGGGCGGCAAATTGGAAGCTGCGATATTTACAAATATTTAGGAGTGTTTTTAACCCAGGATGGAAGATTGGACCAGGCCATCAAAAGAGGAATATGCTGGGTAGGAGGGCAATCGCTATGTTAAATGGAGTTCTTTGGGACCAAAGGATCTCCAAAGAGAACAAAAGGAGGATCTACAACGCGATTGTCAAGAGCATAGTAACCTACGGGTGAGAAGTATGGCCGATGAAACTGCGGACCCGGGAGGTTTTAGAGGCAACAGAGATGGACTTCTGGCGTAGATCCGCTGGTATTTCCAGGAAGTATCGCGTCAGGAATGAGACGGTACGGGATATCATGGATGCCAAGCAGACCATCGTGCATGACATAATGACAAAACAACTCATTTGGTATGGTCATGTCCAGAGAATGGCAGGAGACAGGTTGCCGAAGAAGATCCTTGACTGGGTTCCTCCTGGGAGAAGACGCAGAGGGCGCCCAATGAAAGGTTGGAGGGAAGGGATTGAGGCGGAAATGTTAAGGTGCTCAATCCCCCAAGATTTGTGGTTTGAAAGAGAGCAGTGGAGGTTGGGAGTCGTAGAGCGCGAGGGAGTGCTGTAAAGCGACTTATATGTGTATTTAACGTCATGATCGAACAGCTTGGCTGTTATAGTCATGTTAACAGGATGACTAAAGGAAGGCTGCTGAAGAAGGTGCTCGATTGGGTTCCTCCTGGGAGGAGACGAAGAGGACGCTCAGTGAAAGGGTGGCGACAGGTGGTTTTAAAGGGAGTGAGGGAGTGTCGACTCCCTAAAGGGCTTTGGGAGCTTAGGGGACTTTGGCGGCTAGGTATCGCAGAGCGCCAAAGAGCGCTGTGAATGCGGCTTTTATGTATGCACTAGCTCGTATCTTTAAAAAAGGAAGAGAAAAAAGCATGAATTAGGGGAACACCAATACTGCCACGATTGTGAGGAGAGCCGTAAATGCAAAAATAAGTTTTGAGGAAATGAGATCAGTAGCGTCTAGGCGGAAAACTTCATAGACAGAGGTCTCCGTTCTTTGTCAAATTGCCATCAATCACGGAAGGACTTTTGAAAATCATTCGGATTATTGACAATCAAGAAAATTTTGCTTTCATTTGTAAAGAGTCCATTTCATTATAAGAGTGCCGTCAGTTAGGATTGCATGCAACGGACACTAGACGAACTTCATCAGAACGCCTGGATGCAACTATTCGAACTCTACGGATGTCCTTGTTGCATACGCACGAAAGTGAAGGCGTTTTGACTTTACAGGCTCTGCTTCACCCGCGGTGCGGACGCGGCGGCAGGCTGTACTACGATGATCTAAAATGACAGAGCGCCTTCAATTCTTTGTCTATGCGACAAAACATCAGGCACAAATAGATGCCCACGGGCGTACACGTTATGCTAGCGTTATGCGGAATAGCCCCCAACATCAAACGTCTGTTTTTCAAGAAAGAAAACTGACCAAAGTTAAAACTTAAACCACATTCGATCATCCCCTGGAGAGCCAGCTCTTAACTCACTTCAGTGGTGGCTGTCCGCGTATCCTTTTCTCTTGTGGTCGTCCAATCATACAAATGCTAGCCGGCATTTTGCTCTCCATCTTATAACTACGTACTCAAACCAATTCCTTCTACTATCGCGAGTCAATTTAACAACATACTGCACCTCATACACATTGCGCACTGGAAAAAAAACACATTAGATCGAGAGTCCAGACTCTTGAAAACATTGACAAGAAAAAATACTCTTGATTCAATCGGATTTTTGC